GCCCGCCAGGGGGCGCGCCTGGGACTGGCAGGCGGGCGCCGCGCAGCGCCCGCGCGCTCACCGATGTAGAAGTTGGTCACCGTGCGCATCTGCTTGTGGCGGCAGATGACGAAGATGACAAGCGAGTTCCCTGTCAGGCCAAGCAGCATCAACGCTGCGAAGAGGAGCGGCACCAGCCAGGCGTCCACGGGCCACCGCGCGGGCGCCATTCCGTCCGAGGCGTTGGCGCCGCAGCCGGGGCAGCCCGTTGCGTTGGTCAGCGCCCACCAGGACGCATTGGGTCCGGACATGGCTACGGCGCGTGTGGCTTCGCCGCCCCTCTTCCTTCCGGCCGCCCTCCGGGATTGCGCCCCGGGATCAGTGCGGAGATCCTTCTCCTGGCCGGGGATGCGCCCGTGGAGCCCGAGAAGGTTCTCGGCTGGGGTCCACCGGGCCTGGAGGGCGGCTCCGCTGGGCTCAGCTGCGCCTCTGCTCCTGCCGCAGACGCCGAGCGTTTATAACCTAGCGCCCACCCCCCCACACACACGCGTCCCCGCGTCCCCGCCTTCCCGCCTCTCTGCAGCCGCTCGCTACTCCCTCCCCTGCCTGCGCCCCTCCATCGCCCGTACAGCAACCTTCTCCCCATTTCGTCCCCTCTCCCCAACGCTCAGGGTGAGGGCACTGGAGGGGACGGGTTGAAGGAGGGCAGAGCGGAGGAGGGGTGGCTGCGTGGAGGCTCCTGGGAACCCCGGAGGGACCGACCCTGACCAGGGGATAGAAACTCCCAGGCAGGGTCTGGTGGTCAGAAGGTGTCTGTTCTTTAAGAACTCAACCTCCCCTCACTCCGGCTGCTACAAATCAGACCCCTAAGATCGATCACCTCCCAGCTCACGGGCGGCAATTTGCGGGCACATGGGCACCTGTGCCGCTGGCTGCAGGAAGCAGGTGGAGGGCAGGTTACAAAGGACACTGTTGATCCTGAAAACGCACACCCAGGAATGTAGCCGACACTAGTCGGGCCACCGTCGAGCAGTACGCGGTGGAGAAAAAGACGCGCCCTCTGTAGGGGAAGAGAGGAATAGATATGCATGGCATCCGAGCAGTCAACCGTCTATGGGGGGCAGAGCAAAAGAGGGGGGACATGTTTCCCTGGGGGGACAGACAGGATAGGGTGCGGAGATCCGTGGTTACCAGGTGGGGAGGAGACTGTTTGGGGGAAGCTGCTGAGTGGAACGAGCCTGCGGGAGCATCGAGCAGGTGGCTGGACCTTGGAGGTGGGGGGCTCTGGGGAGCAGTGGCGCCTGATGGACAGGCGGGAGGTCCTGGGTCCGGGAGGCCGTAAAGAAGGTGCAGGACAGGTTTCTTGGTACCCACGCCCCGTCAGGGAAGGCTCAGGAGGCACCCCCAGAATGGGCACATTTAGTGAGCAGCTATGGGCTGTGGGCCCCAGAGCCCCTTCCTGCCCTCCTCCCAGGCCCCACGGGGTGGGGGGGTCACTGTTGATTTCTTTGGCTTCTTTTCACTTTTATATCTACATAGAGTCACGCGATGTGGCCTTTTAACCATTTGGCCTCCTTCCCCACCCCCTCTCGCCCTTCGCTTGTTGAGGGGATTTGGCTCTTTGTCCGGACGATTTGCTCCAGACTGGACCTGGCCGGGTGCATCTCTATGGGGTCCGCTCCCCACTTCTCTTGTAGAGTGGAAGGTGGATTCTAGATTCTAGAGCAGCTTTCAATCTTTGCTCTGAGCCCTCCTATGGCTCCCCATTGCCCTCAGGACCAAACCCGGATCTGTCACCACAGGGCCGCCAGGCTCTGGGGTC